AAAAAGTTTCATTAAGATGAGATTGGATGTTCATACAGTCCAGCCTGCCTGCATCAGTTATGTCACATTGGTGGAGAAGTGTGTGTCAGCAACAGACATTTTCACCTGTGTGAAAATATTACTGACGCCAGGTATCATGATCTTTAACCTTAATTTCCGACAGCTTCTATTGCGTCTAGTCTAGCTGCTGAACTACAGTCCTGGATTGCAATAGATTAAGCATTTATTAATGGCGGGAAAGTTGGACGGTTGTATGTCAATGTGCATCAATTTGTGCTCTCCAAATTATTTTTAAATTTTCTTTAGGAAACACACGATAAATGTAATTTTGCATTAGGTAAATGTGTTTTATATTCAGTGTATTCTTAATATTACGCAATATATCCTATTTTACATATATATGTATGCACTTTGACGTTTTATACAACACATTTTTCCCCAGTCTCTTTTCATCATTACTGTATAATTATATTAAGTTTTCTCACCCCTGCTTTCCGCCAGTGACAAGCGACTTCGCTAAGCTCATATCACCACACCCCCAAAACCTTGGTGAACGCCATTTGGGTGCTCTTTCATCTGACAGGTCTGCTTTAAAGGTTTGCAAACATAACATTGAGCTCCGCAAATTAAGTCAAGCACTGGAATAACATCATTACAACTCTTCAAGCACCACTACATAACAGGCAAATGTTTTTTCATCACCATAAACAATCAAGGTTTGAAAAAGAGGTGTCTTCTAATTTCAAATATGGTATCAGATTTTGTTATGATCTACAGTTTCTCAGTGAAATTATTTGTATTGTTCATACCAGCAAGTGCATCCAAATGAGAGACAGAGACGTGTCGACTGCTGAATATATTACAAGAGGTTCTACGATCGTGGTTTATCAGTGTTCCAGCAAACAGTTAATTTCTTTAACAACAAAAGGTGAATGAGCTCTACAGAGATTCTGTTTCTCAAGTTTTAGTTCCAATGAGGCATAATCTCATTGGTTACTTACACCAAGTGGAAAGGTTCTGATACTCATATACAAAGTAACTACAATAAAATGCAGAAATCAGTCAACAACTTTGTTTTAGTGCAGATTATATATCTTATCATGATATCAAAAACACTTAGCTCCTATTCTCAATGACAAACTATTCAAATTATATAAACTTTAATACTTTATGATTAGAAGATGCTGGAATCTTCTCTCAACAGTCTTCCCAAATATTTCAATTCTTTAGATAGTGTAACCATGAAAGGCGAATTTTTTAAAAATATCAGTCAAGCATCGTATTCCAGCTAAATACAATGCATAAATCATTCCGAACAGAGACGTAATATTATGAACTTAGGATCGCAGCAACAAGATTCAATTGTGAACACTGAAGACAAAAAACTGAAAACTGCACCCTCCAAGGATCTGTGTTTAGTTTCACCTTACTTCTACTCTATAAACAAGGCAGATAAAAATATTAAAATACCAGTAAATGCAAGGAAATTTGCCAATACAACCCTTCTAGGTTTAGAGAATAACACTATTTCTACTAAAGACATGATTCAAAATGCTCTAGACAATGTACAAAATAGTCCCAAGAAACTGGCAGCAAGTTCTCTGCCCAGAAAACAGAATGTATCATTTTCTGAAAACAAAGATACAAACAGCCCAACTTGTGACATAATGTTGGTGGTTTACCCCCTAATTAGTAACACCAAGATATTAGAACACACATTAACAATATAACAAAAGGAAGCAAGAAAAGAATGAAGATCTTGAAACTGCATACATAAAAAACACACACACAACGGAGAAATGATAAAGACAAGCGCTGCGAATCTAAAGAGCAATCATCACACAAAAATCTTGATTACAGATGCTTATTGTACAACACGTTAGGGAGAAATATATTTGAAACATTTGGACACAATCCACAACAAAGCTTGGAGAATTGCTACTAAATACTTCCACAAAACACCCATTGACAGGATCTTAATTGAGGCTCAAAACATTTCAAATACCCCACATGGAAACAAAATAAATAAATAAATAATTTAAAAAAAAGTAGTTTTCCACCATGGATTCTTCCTTAAACTGATGCAACCCTCAGAATATAAAGAAAAATTAACAACAGAAAATTCATTGAAGTCTGTAACAAATACAATAATTACACCCAAGTGTATATCAACATTAACCTTTTGTTAGGCTATCAGTATATTTCCCAAAAATTTAATCCCACCATTTTTTTTTATAAATTTATCCCTCCCAAGGGTTAATTTAATATTGGTTAAAGTATGCTGTAAAGCTAATTTGTATTATCATTTTGTTTATTATTTCTGTAATCAACTATAATGCAGTACAATACCTTTAGTAGTCACTAATAACCAAATTGTGGATGTGGCTAAATAAATTTAATAATTTTCAAATTATCATACTTGTTTGATTTTAATGCTTATAGTTTCAAGATTTTTAAACTTTCTATAAAAATATAACTATTGGAAAGAAAATTTTCTTTTCTTTATTTTTTGCTGTGATGCTTGTGTTATTAAAATCTCTTTGATATTTTTATTATTAATATTGAAAAATGAGCAAATTATCACATATAGTTATATCAGGGAAACCCATTGGGCTTCGTGTAGTAAAAAATAAAATAAAATAATTCAAAAGTATTTTTTTTATTTTTTCAGGATAATTCAAGGTTTGAGCATTCATCATTAATATTTTTACAATTTGTACAAAATCATTTGGCATCAAACAATTATTGTAACAACATTAAAATAATTATTTTTATTTAGTGCTTTATTATAACCATATTAGCCAATGAGAACCAAAACCAAAACTACTTCCCAGGGAGCACTCGCAGCAGTAAGCCACTAATTCATCTTAGGAGGATAAAATATTTTTACCCAAAAATAAGACAAAAATAAGACCAATATTTTTTAATGGACCACTAATGAGAAAATCTCAAATGAATGTATCTGTAACCATTAACAGCAAAGTGATAACAAAATAAAAATGTTTGCAGAGATTTTTTTAAATTCAAATGATGAATGCATATGGACTATCAACTTTATGCCTGCGCAAGTGCAAAGAAGAGCTTAGCTACAAACTTCATCTCGATTAAGTGCATGTTCTATAACCAACCACATATACAATCTTTGCAAAATATTCTAGTGTGAACTTTCAACGAAGCAAATTTAAGGTAGCTGTCAACTACCAAAGAGTGAGGAAAAACAGGAAAATTCCTGTTTTTCAAATTTTATTGCATCATATGCTATCTCTTATTGACTTTAAAATGCTTCAAATCGGATCTTGCTACAGTTCTTAAGATTAAAAAAAATTTATTATTTTTATTCAATGCGAGTGCCAACTGAAGCACTGAGTGAACTTTAGATGTATTTCCCCAAATTGGGAATTTTCAGCCCATTCATGCACTTCAAACACCAATCAAAAACTATCAAGACAATAATATAATTGTTTTTGCAGCGTATAAAACCCATGAAATTATCTAGTGAATCTGTCACTAAAACTTTCAATTTTATGAACTACATAAAACACGTTTATACTCCTTAGTTTTCACAGTATCTTTACCATTCTAGTTCATTCACTAAATGAAATTGCGATTAATTTTAAAAAAGAATTATCAAAATATATCGATTTGTTCAAGAGTTATGTTTGAAGTAAAAACCTGCATTTTTGCCTTTTATTAACCAATTGAAAATATTTATATGTATATTTATAAATATTTGATCTCTAAAGTTGCAAGGAAATCAAATGTAGAAAGGACAATAAAATAGACCCAAAATTGTAGAATTTTTTTTCTTGGGAAGACAGCCACCTTAAAGTTAACGATTATTGAAGCAGATACCATGAACAAGAGTGCAACAGGAAGAAAATCTGGCAACTCAAGACAGGAATATTCCTAGGTGACATCAAATGAAAATAACTCAAATGGGGAGGATCAGGTCAGTAGTATGAGAGCAAGAGCAGAAAGAAATAAAGGAAAAACACACATTAAGATACTGACAGTGACAAAAACAGAACACTAATGTGATGATGTCTATACCTTCTCACCAATATGACAATTTTCTGGTCAATAAGACAATTCACAACATTTTAAATGGATAGGAAGAATTTGTTAAAAATATAAATAATTCTCTTTTCAAATTTATGAGAGTTTGATAATAATGTACCTATGGTAATTCAACGGCTTTGGTACTTTGAAAACATGCAAGAAATAAATTAACAATGTTTCTCCGGCACAGTATGCTGACCAGAGTAACCAAGTGAAGACAAGGTTTAAAAAGTATTTTTTAGCCTTAATATTTTCTTACCTAAACAGATCATGAATTTATATTTTAAAAAAATAAAGAAAAGTCCTTAGAACAAACTGGGACCTAATAACAATGTTTTCTACCACTTCAAAAAATTAAAATAAACATTCCAATCATAAAAATTGAATATTTATATATACCCTAATATTTTGTTGCAGAACATAAAACAATATAAACACCTCTCTTCAATGGTGCTACAGCCCAGGTCAGCCTCTGGCATGACCTATGATCAGTCACACGAGTGGTTTTTAACACTCGCTGATGCCCAACCAAATTGGGGATTAATACATAAATGATTCACTTCTCATAGGACTTCAGCCCCCCTCCTTCATTACAAACAGTTAATATAGCAATTCCTAGTCAACATAAAATTGGTCATATTTATGGTTATTTTTACCAACTCTTCCTCAAATTGATTCAATTTTTGAAATTGAACTAATTTCAGATATATAACCACACTTTTTACACATACCAATGACATGTACTGCAATGTTCAAATACTTCAAAATCAATAGCAGCATGACTTGGCAGTTTAATTAATTACAAAGACTCATGTGACTTGCAACAATTTCTAACAAAATAAAGTTGCCTTCGGACAGCACAAGAACTCAAAATCAGGAGACAAAAAGGAACAAAAAACAGGAAATTCTCTACAGTAACATAACTAAGATACACTTGATACCTGGGTGGCATTGGCTCCTTGGCTGTAAGAAGATCACGGGACTGCCTGTAGTCCTCACTGTCACCTCGCAGCAAGGGTCCAGGTAAATTCTGACTAGGTACACTGCTTGTATCACTGGCATCTTGAGTAGATGACTGATGGCTCTTGGAATGATTATGATGTGCATCGTTAACCACCCCAACTGCAGCCACTGTCTGTAACTTTCCTCCTACTGACGGGTTGTTTCCACATGCACTGCTTGAATTTTTATTATGTGTCCCTCCAATAGCGCCAGTCACTGAGCTTCCCATTCCTCCCAGATGATGGTGATATGAATGACTACCAGCAGAATGACGACCCAAATTCATGACATCTGATAAACTTGACCGATCACTCAATGGTTGGTTCCTCTTATTCCTAAATATGTACAGTACACAATACATATTAATATACCACCAAACTGCATAACCACTCAGCTGGTTAATTGAGAAATGCAATCCACAGAAAAAATATTCCATGACTTAAAACAATTAACATGATAATTTAAGAAATTCCTTTCATGTACTGATCATGAAAAAACCAACCGAGTGGTTAATACCAACAGATCATGTTACATCATACTTTTCAAACAAAACATGCAGAAAAAGTATTTGCACTAACTACAGAATTGCTACACATCATTCTTAGCAGATTTTGCCACAATTAACAGCACTTTGAAACTAAACATGAAAATGCTCCTTTCTTGAGTAAGAAGTTTCCAAAAAGCATAAAACTAGAAGCAATTTTTTAAAGAGTTCACCGAGGACAAAAATGCTATCCCACAAAATTAACACATTTAAATCATATTTCATTAAAATATTTAAATAAACATTGTTGTAAAAGTCACATTCGTAGAAGAGAATTTTTATGGAATAATAACGTTAAGTCAGAGTCATCATAACAATGTAAGTTTGATGACGTACCTTTTCATTAGGTACATTCAGGACAAAAATTCTGCTTCCTGGAGTAACCTAACTATACTCATTATTTAGTTTCAACATTCTGTAACATTGTTTGATAGCAGGTTTCTGCTAATACCAATGTCAATGGCTGAACCATATTTTGTGACCCCATTTTCTAATTGTTATCTTCAATTTCACTGAAATACGATAGACTAGAAAAATATAATTAGATAAAAAAAGTAAACCTTGTAAAATTTAGTTCTCTGAATAACATATCTATCAACCAGGGTTGAAAAGACAAGGACAACTTCTTTAGGAATTGGTTAAAAACCCACCTTCAAACTCTCAGAAAAAATGCACAAAAAATTGCATTATATGAAATATGTTCATAATTGAATTTGAAAACAATCATTGTAGCAACATAAAAAGTGTAACAGTACTTAGTAAGTTTCTTCAAAGAGACTAGCAAGAAATTTTCAGCTTTCATGCAACATTTAGTACATAACGGAAGAGTACAAATCAAAATACAATACATAATAGCTCAATGGTGAAATTGAACAAACAATTTGTAGGAAGCTTTCAACCATTCCACAGTGATAAACCAAACAGGCAATGAAATTCAGGAGTGTAAAATGAAACAGCAGTGAATAAGCCACAAATTAGTTTTAACAATAGTGACAGAAAAGGAGAAATGCCCACATTATTAACTAGTGGTATAGATTCCAATGACAGAAAGCTCTGTCTCATACAATAGAAAGGAAGAATCAAATGATGATATATGTGTGATAAAGAAGAACGGGGGGAAAAAAATTACAGGAGTCACAGAGATTCTTTACAATACTGCTATCAGTTAAGCCGTCTTGATGCTATGCAATACCTGCTACGAGGATTGTAGGTTCTAGATCCTTGAGGTTTGGTGAAGGATGCCTGTGGAGCCAAACCATTGAAGGAAAAAACGCTTCCCAATTCCACAAAGCCAGGCCCAGCAGGAGGCCAAGGTTGGAGCATACTTGGTGGATAGAATGGCTGCTGATGTTGAAATGCCTGAAAACAGGATGATGGGGGCTACCCTTTTAATGCACGTGCCCTTAAATGAATATAATATTCAACACAAAATTAACTAAAAATCCACCAATATTTAGTTTGGAATATATTTTGACAATGTTTTTTCATCAGTGTATTTTGAACTGTACATTCCAAGAATACAAGTTCGTATTAATCACAATAAAAGCAGAGGACAACTAATGTCTCTATGCTTTCTAGCAAATCTTTCAGAATATTCAGTATACCTGTATTAATATTTTAAGCAAGATTTTGATAAAGTTCTTTTACATGGGATCTCTAGACTATTTATCAATGTACCATTTTCATAATTTGTAAGTTTTTGAAAGAAATTGAAGGAAAATGAATTATAAATGGTCCTACATTCACGCTACTTACATATATCTGAACTTGATTTCCATAATTCACATTTGGGGGCAATGAACTACCATTACTGTACAAGAATCTTTGCTGGCCTTGATAAGAATTGGGGTCGTATATAGCTGTTGGAGGAGTACGATATCCATTCTTCATAGCAGCAGCACCCATTGCAGATACTGGTGGTAAAGGCAACCTGTTCATAGGTTTAGCCTTGATTCTTGCCATAATTGGTTTACCCTAAAAATTGAAAAATGTACATATTTATATGCAACACGCATTTGTGTAAGTGTGTGTCTCGTATATATCCCATCAACGTATGTTTTTATCCACAGTATTTTCTTCATCAAATATAACAGATACTCCTGAAAGTCATTGCTAACAAAACTAATGCTTCTGAATTAATGCCATAATTTGTTCCATCCCAGAATCACAACAAAATTTAATTTTGAGAAATATACATAATGGGAAATCACAAACTTCAATTCGATAACTAATAAGCTAAACTGAAAGCAATTTTATGTCCATCATGTATTTTGGGTCATGCTTTGTAGCTTGGAGCAGGCTCCCAAATAATAACAATTTTCTCCTCCCCAGCTTATACACATGACCTTTTACTTTGCAGCAGAACCTATATTTTACTTCATTACTAATTAAGTCTTCTACTAAACGTTTGTCTGAAATTTTTAATCAGATTATTAAAGCAATGAACTAATGAACATGAAAATAATTTAACAGTTTGGTTTAGAATACAATTAATTACTTACTAGATTAAGATTTCCCAAATAATGAAACATATATTACCTGAAATTCTCTAACTTCTTCTCGAAGGAACCTATACGCTTTCTGGGCATCCTCATCAGATTCAAAGGTAACATACCATGAATTATTATGTGCAAATTCACAAGAAATTAAACGGGGACAACCTTCACCAGAAAATAATGCCTGAAACATTTTTTTGTCAGAACATATATTCAATATAACATTACCTGCAGATGATTTACAAGATTAACGTCCAATTAAATCCCATACCTTCACTTCATCTAAGGGAGTGTTGTCAGGAATTTCACGCAATATCACAATACATCTTTTATGATTTGGTCGCACCTTAATTCCTTCTTCATCAACTTGAACATTAGGTGATTCTGTCAAAAAATAAAAAACAAAACAAAAAACAAAACAAAACAAAAAAACATAAGCAACCACTTCCCCCTCCCCCCCAAACATCCATGCATTAATCAGCACTAAATACCTCGTAATACTTCTGTGATAAGTTTGATATCTTTAGTCAGCTTTTTGACTTGATTGAAATTGGCAACAGTCCAAATTGGGACATACTGATCATTATCCATTTGAGACAAAAGATAGGCATCATTAGCCAAATTCTCTCTGCAACAATATACACATGTCAAAAATAAAGACAAAAATCCTTATATTTGTGAATCAACATTAACTGATTTACCTGGAAAAATAATATTCTAGCTGTGATGACAACATCTGTTTAAGCTGATCCAGGGGGATGCCTGCATCAGACCCAGGGCTTGGGTCCGCTAGCGATCCCCCTGGAGGAGAGCTGGCTTGCACGTACGTCTCCAGTGAGTCAGTTACACCATTCAATGACCCACTGTAATAGTTTTAATGTGAAAAATACAGATGTCATGCAAACTAATTTACTTACATTGTAATTATATTATATCCATTGGCAATATATGCTTCTACATTATAATCATTCATAATTTAATACACTTAAAGGAAACAGTAACCCAAAAGCTCACCTGTAATCTGAGGTAGCAGTGACGGCCAAGGACTCAGGGGTGGTAGGGTACACCGCCCCTGAAGGGAGCTTGCCGATGTCCCCATTCATGTACACGTAACCTATACAAAATTAGAATATATTGTAAAATTTCGTTCTATTCATCATTGCAATGATCATTTAATCTTTAATTCTTGCTAGCAAATTTCATTTAATAAAAATACTGAGGCAAACAAAGCAATAAGCTGATAGGAAAAAAGAAAAACTTCTTCCTAAAAGCTAAAGGCTGAAAATGAAGTAATCATCATTATGTAAACATTCCATTATTTATGTAGTTACAGAGCAGCTCAAAAAACCTGATAACTATTTTGTAGAAAGGATAATTATCTGTTCACAGATCTATAGTTTATAATTAATGTTCTTAACAATTGCACAACATCCTCATTTATAAATTGCACATCAATTTAACTAGCAATTTAACACTGATCCAATGCATTTGAATCACAACAATGTCATGATCCCAACCCCCATCAGACATATACAGTACAGAAAGTTCTTGAAAATATATCTCTCCCCTCCAATAAAAAAAAAGAAAGAAAGAAAAATGGAGGAAGTGATGTGTCAAGTCAGCACAATTAAAATTCAAGTGACAAAATTATTTCACAAGTATCAAAAAAAAAAAAAAGTGTCACTAGGCATACACTCAATAACTATAAAAATAAAATAGGACACCAAAAGCATACAACCTAAAAAAACACCAATTCAAACGATTTCAAGCATGTTCTAGTCCAAACAACAGTGTGGGGCACCTCAAAAAACATTGTGCACCAATTCAAACCTAACCATACATAAGTGCCCTAGGTTGTAAAAACCCCATTGAAATGGGAGTCAAAAACACAAATCTATTAAAGTATTCTTTTTAAGAAAATGAAATGACAAATTCAATTCAATTATTTTCTAGTAAAATTCTGTACTGTCTTTAAAATGCGTTTAAACACTTTCCAATATGCAAACTCACTCCTTTAATTTTAATAATTACAAATTAATTCTTCTAAATTCACCCATTCTACTAGCTGCAACGAATAAATTCGTGGGTCGAACAATATAAAGACATAGATGTCATTCTTGCCCCCAAACTCGCAACAACATTAAGCAAGAAATACTTAATATTTATATTTTCTCTAAATAAAAGGTTGCACGTTGGTAATTAAATAAAATATTGTTTAAATGTGGCAAGTGAATGATCAAAACAGCGTGATTCATCCAACTATACAGAAGCCATTTATATGAACTTCAACATATTTGGGGATTAGAAAACTTATTCACATACATACCGACGTGTATTTACACACAAAAAAGCAGGACACGCGATTTTCAAGACAACACAACTGGCATTCGGTAGAATTTGGTATAGTTTTCTTTCCTAATATATCCCGGAAACCATGTGCCTTATCATTGGACTTCTTTAATCGAGCAGTTCTTTTATAATTGTAGAAGTCCACGACACCGCATCAATAATATTTTATTCCTAGACGTGTATGCACAGCGGAACTAGTGACGATCACGATCGGACTAAATTCTGAACACTGTAGTAAAACAAATCAATCTACGTGAACATAAATATAGAAAATCTTACCGTTGTGAAGAGTCTTCAAACTCAACACTATTTCTCACGAAAACTGCAAAATGGCCGACGCAGAAGGCACATGCCATAGAAACGTTGCATCATGGGCTTCGCAACGACGACGCACACTGCTCTCTGTGGGAACACTTCAGGAATTCGAAGACAAAAACAAGTCGCGCGATTTGCCCATGCCCACTGTTACTTAACTTGTCAGGCAATAGTTTATCAGTCTTTTGGCGGAGATGGCTAAATCGTACTTCAATTCTTCTCGTTAGTTCGATTATTTCAATATGAGATGTCATAGACTCACTAGTAATTCAGAGTTAGTCAATTAATGATTTCGGTATCTACCTCATGAATTACTTGCTTTCTTGAGTTACGTAATGAATTTTGCAACACAATCTTTACAGACTAACTTCACAATGACATCAATTGTAACTGCTATTACATTAATGTGCCCGTAGGGTGATTTTATATTAAAAATCCTGATCAATCAGCCGTTTACTATGGAAAAAATACTCCAATATAAAAATGTGTAGCAAATTGTTCAGGATATGAAATGGTGAACTGTGTTATTTTCAGCGCAAGTTTTCTTGAGCCCTCGCTTCGCTGGTTGCGAGAGGAGTGGGGAGTTGGGTTATTTTGACGAAAGGAATTTTGCATCAAATTTGTAGTTCCTTTTTCGATGCAAAATAGTTTCTATTACGCGGGAGCGAACATACTGGTTAGCAGATTTTGACTACAACGTTCGTTGCTATCATTTATTCTTAACTCACATAATGTTGGCAAAGGAGTGAGTATTCAAAAAAAAAGTTCTCAAGAAAACGTGCGCGCGCATAATATCAGTTTGAGCTGTGATTTAGACATGGAGAAAGGTATGCATACCCAGACAACGAAGATAAAGCGTACAACATACCGTATAACAGGCGCGGATCCACGGAGAGGGAAATGAGGAAAATTTCCCACCCTAAGTTTGTTCAGTTACTATTAATTTTAAGTTTTCACGAAACTTTCTGGCCAAAATATTTTCGGATAATCATTAAAACCAATAAAATCTTATCGTAGCATGAGCTGAGTGTAGCCTGCGACATTTTACTAAATCTGAAATAAGACTTTTGACCAGAACATTTCGAATTTCCCCACCTAAAATTTATCTCTGGATCCGCCCCTGCGTATAATAATGATCATCTATGAAGATGCAAGTGTTTGTTTGGTACGCTCATATGGATGTTAGAAGAAGCAGCTGTATTTTAGCACCAGTGGAGTAACGAGTTCTTATAATGCCCCCTTTCGAAGACAAAGGAATGGAGTTTCCATCAAGTTAACATTAGTATCTTAAATAGAACGTTCAAGAACCTCTTTCATAGAAATTAAAAATCCTTTGTTATCGTCGTAGAAAAACATTGTAAATCATTTGTCACGAAGTTCTCTTGGATAAGTAACTTAATTTTTAAAGTGATTAAAGGTGACACTTTAATATCTTTCCGTGAAACCTGGTTTAAATTCCAGATTATTTCCTTTACAATACCTGGTTTAAATGCAATCTCCTAAATGCGGCCTCAATTCACAGTTTTATTGTGGAACCAATTGACTTTTCAAAAGTCACGTGCAAAAATTCCCTCGTTCAAGCGGCAACCGGATCGCGCGGCCAGGCATATTTCGTTTTGATTTACTGACCTCCATTCAGCGGTCACTTACAGCAATTTTGAACTGGTTATATATATATATATATATATATATATATATATATATATTTATATATAGATATATATATATATATTATAATATATATATATATATATAGATGAGAGAGAGAGAGAGAGAGAGAGAGAGGAGAGAGAGAGAGAGAAGAAGAAGTTGAAGAGCTGTGGAGATAGGGTTGATTCTGTATCTTCTTGCGACAGTATGAAATACCAGATTACGTAGAACAGTGACATCCAGAGTCGTTTAACTGGCAAGGAATTGCTTAATTATTTCGTGTTTCCGGACGCTTTAACTGCTACATTATTAGTCTCGTAAGTGTTGTGCATGATCTTATCATGGGAGGTGGCGGTGTTCTTTGCCTTCAATGGTAAGATTCGGTGTCGACCTACAAGTCGACTTGCGGCTTTTACCCATTTAGATATCCCCCACCAGTGGGGCACCGCCCCAGTCGGGACAAGCTCTAAACTCTCGATTGGTCTCGCGACATATGTGGAAGTGTAGTGTAGTGCGTGCGTGCGCATGTATGGTGAGTAAATATGAGGTGAGGATAGGGCAAGGAACAGGAAAGGAAGGTTGCGCGCTGTCCGTTGCCCGTTTGTTAGGTAACTACTACGGCATTCGCCTAGTATTGATCAGAAAAAAACATGGAAAACTCTCGATCAGAGCAGCCGGTTGCCAGAATTCTCTTCTAGGCACAAATTCCTAGCCGTTTAGTTAGTTTCGAAAATTTGCCATCGTCGGGACTCGAATCCTACGACCTCCAGGCCAGAGAAGCTGCAGTGACAGCCGTTGATGGCCTGAGCCATCTCAGCCGGTAAAATTCTTCTCCGCCCTGGTATTGGAATTCAGGTTCTTCACGTTTACACGCCTTTCACGTTACTCCTACACCACCTGGCTCGCACTAACAGGGGAATTAATTGTTTCAAGTTACAAAGAATTTTAATAAAAGTCTTTATGAAATAACAATGTATTTAATTCGTCCATTGCACAGCATTCTCGTGAAGATAGCTATCTTCTCCTCTATGAGAACTTGTCAACGCCCTCCAGAGCACATCCGTGCGCAAATCTGATCTGAAGGTAATTGTTGTACTTCGAAGAACGGCTCTTTCAAAGATTGTAAACGGCATTTTGAATTCTAGCTTGCTTGCGAGTTCAGTTTCGGCGAGGACGGAAAGTGTGGTTCGCAGATGCGGTTTGTAAGTAAGTAAATGGATAAATGACAAGTCAAGGGCGTTAGACACTAGCCGAGAGGAGGCAAGTAATCCTAGAAAATACGAAAGAAGATTCTCAGAAAAAATTCACTCTCATTTTACTTAAAATGGAAGGTATAAAATTATTGCAATTATAAAAAAGGGCACACTTCGGTTTCAAAATTGCTGTGGCATTTAAATCTCATTTGTATCAAAGAAATAAACAGTGAGCTTCCAGTCTTGCACTGCCACTGCCACTGCCACTGCCACTGTCGTCAATCAGCCGATTGTAGGTTGGAACGGGCAGTACGGAAAGGACGGATCACAGTCTATCAATTGATTATATTTTGGGAGTACGAGCCACCCTTTTCCTCTCTGCTCGTCTCTTTCCGACTTCATTACCCGCCATACCACTGTCTTCTAAATGGAAGATGCAGTGTCAATATTCATAGCATAGCCACTAGCAATTGTAGCATTAGTGTGAATGCGTGTTTGAAAGTTTAAAAAAATTAAGTAAATTGTTTAAAAATTAAGTTTTGTACATGACGTGAGTGTTAACTGGCTTTATTTGTTCGGGAAAAATGTTTCTCTCGCCATTGCGGTC